ACAGTCATTTTTGGTTGTCTCCTTAGTGTGCCAGTGATTTGCATATTAATCTCGCTAAACCCATCAGAAATACATTCTGATTTTCTACTCTGCTACTTTAGATAGCAGTTGCTTTTACAAGTAAAGAGATTGGTTTCTATGATCTGCTGTCCAAAGAAGAATTTTCTTGTCAATACAAACTCCAAGGCCTGAAAGGAGCACCAATTTGCCTGGATTATTGGTATGACCCTCTTGATGCCAATGAATCGATTCTTTCTTTTGGGGACATAACTGGAAAGGTAAGTGGAGACAGGATAAGATTGAACAGTATGGATTTAATCATTAATCTATAGTTCAAAATAGAAACTAAAATGCAGTGAATGTGACCTTATCATTGAACTGCATTATAACTTGTAAGGCCACACATGGAAGAGATGAATTAGGTCGCAATTCCTCTTCTTGCTTATAAAAACAAATCTTCATCATGGTGTGTGGTTTTTGGTCTGTATATAGTCTCATTTTCTTAATTTAGAAAAAAAATCTTGCTAACTTTTTTTACTATAGGATACTCAAACTATCAGATACAAATATTAAATGTTTCATTTTAAATATCTACGTTTCTCTCTCCTAAGTCTTCACCTTTGTTCTTCTGATTTTGTCATGACACTTTTTATTTCTCAGTAAATTCCCATTTCCCGTGTCATAAGATGAAGGGACAAAGGCATTAAGGAGGACAGCACTGAAACTTAGACCTTGGATGCTACGATTTCTGTCTGCCTATTGAATTCCAACTGACCTATGAACATTTATTACTTGTTTACACTAGACTATTTCTGTGATCTCTTAAGTTGGATAATTTGAAGGATTTCTTTACGAAATTATGAAAGCTTTTCATTCTTGCCATTTTTAATTATAGTAAGTCTATCTTAAAGGCAAAGGATAGACAGCCCTGGGTAATTGCATCAGTGACTTCATAGATGCTTTGTTTTTTAATACAACTGCCTGCATCCCTTAAGTAATATTGAAGAAACTCTTATTAATTCAATTTCTAGCCTTTGTTAAACAAAAGAGCGTAGACTCTTCTTGAAGCAGTTGCCCTGCTCATGTTTTTCTTTCGATGTCTCTTGCAAGGTTCAAGCCATCGCTTTCACGGCAGCCTTGATTTCCCTCTTTGAACGGCCTGTGAGTGCGTGTGAAGACGGAGGAGCCGCCATGACCATTAACTGGGCAGAGCTGGTCTCTGGG